GGTCTTTTGTGAAGTTATGCACATTGTCAGTATTTTCAAATAACCTATTTGTACAAATATCTATTGTTTCTTTCAAGGGTATGTTTGTAAATAATGACTGTATATCAAAACTGGCCATAATAACAGGATTTTCAAAGCTAATTGTGGACATCTGTTTAGCAAAATCAAAAGAGTTTTGGACAGTGTATTCGTTGGTAGTAATAGGTTTGAGGATTGGCACTAAAAATTTGGCTAGATTGTAGTTAAATGTTTTTATAGCTGACAATATAGGTCTAACTGGTATATCGGGTTTATGAACTTTTGGTAATCCATATAGTATTCCAGGTAAAGAGCCAGATGCTCTAAGTTGGTTATATATATCCAAGGAAATGGAGTCATTATCTTTCAGATGTTTTAACATTCTGTTTAGTTTGTCCTCTAACTGAATAATCTTCGTAAATGGCTCAGTATCTAACTTTCTAAATTTGGTATGGTCTGATAGAAGTACATTTACTTTATTGACATAATCCTTTTTATCTAATATCACAACACCTTTTCCTTTGTCAGGTTTGGTAATAATGATGCTAGGGTCATTCTTTAAAGATTTCAAAGCGTTGTGGTTGGCTTTGCTAAAGGATGGTAACCAATGTCTATGTCTTTTGAAGTCGTAAAAGGTCTCATTAGCTAAACTAGCAATTTTCTCAACAACTCTCTGTTTGTTAGATTCAGAGTTGTCACGGATTTGGCAGTTATTGATGGTATGACATAGACGTTCAAAAGCTAAAAAATGTTCGGCAAATGTAGGGGATTTACAAGGTAAAGCAAAATCAAGACCTAAATTTAGTAGTTTGGTTTCATCCTCAGATAGTTTCCTATTTGAATGGTTGAATATTACTTTGCTGCTTTCGACCTCATATTCTGGAGTTAAGCCAAGATTGTGCAGCTTTCTCAAATGTCTAGTTTTAATCTTAACAAGATCTTTATCGTTGTTCCTCGTTAATAAACATTTAAGGCAATTAAAATCAATGAATGAAGTAAAATTTCTCAATTCTTGTAGTAATAAGGGATACTTAGCACTTTCATAAGCTAGTTGTTTAGTTTTTTCTCTAATTTCATAGTTAAGGAGCTTGAAGAGCCAGGATCTATATAATTTGGTGTCAGTGAATCTATGGTTATACACTTTAAACTGTAAAAACTTAGGAATAATGTTATAATTCTTACAGGTTTGGAGAAATTCAATGTCCAGTTCTAACTTCTTGATCTTGAAATCCGCTTTCTCCGTCTCTCGATATTTCAGCAGTACTGGTCGGCCATAGCGGTTGGATAATATTTCCACGATAGATGTTCCACGGGGGAAACGTATTCTTATTATGAAAAGGAGGACCAGGACAGCAGGAAACCACATCATGCGCATTTTCATTTATTGAGCTTTCGGACATCAACAACTGTGTCCATCATCAGAATCTGCATATAAGAGAGCAATACATTTGTAAAAACTATGTACATTAATACTAAATATATATTTACAGCGAAAAAAATAGAAGCAAGATACACTGGTAACACAAATTATAATACTAAAACTAATGGGAAAATACAGTAAAAATACACAAAAAACAAAAAATGGTTTGCTTACACTTATTCTCCATAGGTGGAATGTGGAGTATGTGACTGTGTCATGCTTGCGTGACGACAGTTTACGGGAATTTGAATTTCTGGATGTCCGTTATGGGTGTGTGGGGGAGTGGGGGGGGGGGAGGGGTAACGTGTGCAAATTATTTTAGAGTATAGAGAGTAGCTGAACTTTCATTGTTGTTTATGTTAGGTTTAATTTCTTTAATTAATAATGATTCTAAGATCCTTAAATCATTAACCTCTTTTACTTTTCTCATCACTGTGAAATCATCTAATTTCATTGCATGGTTTGTTTTAAGACAGTGATCTCGAATTAATGAATAGGTAGGAGAGGATAGTGGACGTAATGTCCGATAAGAGACCCCTTTATGCTCACAATATCTCATCATTAGGTTCCTTGTTGTTGAACCTATATATCTAGCGTTACAGCTAGAACATTTATATGAATACACTACATTTGAGCATAGATGTTTTGGGACATATATATATATATATATATATATATATATATATATATATATATATATGTATATATATATATATATATATATATATATATATATATATATATATATATCCATATATATGTATATATGTATAAATGTATATATATATATATATATATATATATATATATATATATATATATATATATATATATATATATATATATATATATATATATATATATATATATATATATATATATATATATATATATATATATATATATATATATATATATATATATATATATATATATATATATATATATATATATATGTATATATATATATATATATATATATATATATATATATATATATATATATATATGTATGTATATATATGTGCGCTCATATACACACACACACACACACACAATAAT